GCAATACACTTACCGTACAGGAACCTGTACACTAAGACCTGCTGAGAACCCTCCTGTTAGCGGCATACCTAGGGAAGCGGCTTGGACCGATGCTGGAGAGACATATGGGGATACCCCAATCACAGGTGGGACGAAAGGAGGAGGCTGTACCACAAGCCAAGCACCAAGCCCTGATGGTGATGGTGCTACCTGAGCTCTCCCAACCAGCATGGCCAGGCTCTGCTGGATGTCCTATAAGAGAGTCGTCTAATGGTCCTACAACTCCACTACATCTAGCAGGACTGTACGCAGGGTCCTCACATCACCATCCATGTTTGTTAGGTCCATCGCCTCTAACTCACTAACGTCCGCTTGTCTCCACTGCATCCATGATCTTCTTCTGATCATTCTTTCTTTCTCCACATTTATTTCTCCTAAAGCCTTCTGTAGATGTGCCTTGCAAAGTACTGCTTGTTGTATGGTGACCTCTTCAGAGCTCGACACTATTGGCTGGCTTGCCATAACGCCATTGGACTGAATCAGGGTCCGTGCAATCGTTGACCCTACGGTCTCTGACTGCTGGCCTGGGAACTCAGCTGCGCAGCAGTTGCCATGGCTGCTGAAGCAGCGGCTTTGCTTGCAAACGCCCTGCTGGCCTCTGCTGCCCTAGCTCTCCGCTGCTGCTGCTCTCTCCCTAAGCTCGCAGAACAGTAATCTGTCACCCTCGGGTCCTAATGCCACGTGGGCTATCGGGCGTCTATGCGATCGCTAGATCCTGTCGTCCTCGGTAGTGGTCTCCCTGTCGCTCATAAGCTACAGAGCTATACACAATCTCCACCAGGTCACACTCGATGCCTACCGCAGCGTTATGCACAGACCGATTTAAAATCAATCGGTGGCTAAGTCAGAGTATATACTTTTGGGTCTAACGGGTAGTCCAGGTTCCTACAAACGAAACTATTTTTAATTAACTAGTCCACGAATAGAAAGCATTTTTCTAACTATTGTTGTCTGTTAGATGTCAATGGCAGTCCATCTAACTAATCAAAATAAAAATAGAATCATCTGTGTGGATATTTGCAGAGTCGAATTGAGCTCGAACTTATCACCTAGAATCTACCCCTTCCTCAGTTCTTCCTGAAAGTCCCTTGACGTCAGCGTTCATGAGCAATCCAAATAGCGTGTGTCTAAAGGTGTGCACACGACCCACCCCTATGCCCCGAGTGTATGCTGAGCTGACCAGCCCTGCACTATTTTTATCCTCGCGTGCAGCGAGCCTTACACGGACCGATTGGCTGATCAGGACGCATTTTAGGACGACCCGCGCAGTCCTCAAGAATTCTTTAACGTCACAGACATGAAGACGATCATAGCCAATGGAAGGTACCCCAGATCACCCAGCATACCGCATGCATGTACCGCATAGGCAGAAGACAAGCACCAGATTAGTGCACCGTACGACAGCTCTGATACCAAATTGCAAGGACAATGTGCGATAGCGAGCTTCAGAAACCAAGCAGCATCATACACATGAGACCAGATAGTTGTGACCTCGAACCAAAAGCAGAATTGCAACATGAGTTCCACCAAATAAGAGCACAGCAAAAGCTCATAAGTGACAATGTTAGAGTAGTCTCATCATCATCAACAAAGAACCAATGTCGACATCCCATCTGGTGCTCTGCACCCAGACTACAAATGGCAGATCCTATCTAGCCTATCTACAATGCCGCTGGTGACGTCAACAGCTCCACGTCACTGAGCGATAGCTACTTCGGAAACCAAGCAGCATCATACACATGAGACCAGATAGTTGTGACCTCGAACCAAAAGCAGAATTGCCACACGAGTTCCACCAAATAAGAGCACAGCAAAAGCTCATATGTAACAATATTCGAGTAGTCTCATCATCATCAACAAAGAACCAATGTCGATATCCATCATCTTCAACAAAGAACCAATATCGATATCCATCATCTTCAACAAAGAACCAATGTCGATACCCATCATCTTCAACAAAGAACAAATGTCGACATCCTATCTGGCGCTCTGCGCCCAGACTACAAATGGCAGATCCTATCTACCCTATCTACAGTGCCAATGTCAACAGCTCCACCAAGTACGAGCAGATCTCCAACAATGTCGTTCTTCTCAAGCACCAGGTATGTCCCTCGTATCACTCACAACCTTGATCCCCCACTCACAGATGCCACGTACACTCGACGACCACCATGCGCCCCATCCAGCATACAGCAGCACAGCTCCGATATGGCTGCCTGCTCCTTCCAGCTCGCCCGTGAGCGCGTGAGCGCTCGCCAGTGTATAGCGCAGCATGCAGCCAGTGCCCGAATGAGGAATGTGTGGGCAGGCACTTTCCTAAATGGAAATTGCCTGCCTGCTGCGTGAAGCCTGGCTGCGCTGGGGCCCTGCCCAGAAGCTTCCCATAGGCCCCGAGAGGCTGTGCCCCAGCCACACGAATCCGTCCCTGGACCTCTGGTAGTTGCCCATGTCCAACTGCCCTCGGCCTGTGTTCTGTCCATGTTGCGTATCTGGCCCAGGGACTGCCTCAGTTACATACAGAAAAAGGCAGCCTGGGCCTGGGCGCTCTCAACCAACTGGCGCTGCGCAACTGCCTGACTTTGCCCAGTTGCGTGGTGACCCCAAAAATAGGCCTATCGGCCTTGGGTCGAGCATGCATTCACTTAGGGCGGTCGATTGTACAGAAAATAGGGCCCAGTAGGGCAGATCGAGGCCTTGAGCCTCGCATTTGCAGCTATGGCTGCCTTCCCTCTCAGTGCAGCGCTGCCCCAGCAGGGCTTTTGCGTGCATGCTACTCGCAGATTGCGCACAAGTGATTCAGCAGCACTTCCACACTTCTCACGAATGAGCAATCTGCTTGAAATGTGGATGACCAGTCCTTATATTGCCTCGGACCGAACGTCAGCGCTTCCCAGCCTCTGCTTCTTCTGGTTTGACTCGGTACTGGTACGACATGCCCACGGCCTGTTTGCTTCAAAATGTCAAGGCCTGGTACATTCCCGAATTTTCATTGGTGTGCCGCTGCTTGGGCCTCTAAGTCGCCACTTTTCCCCTGTGGAAAATGACTTTTGACTGTGCAATGTGACTCTTGCCTCTGGGACACGACTTTTGCCTGGGGATGTGTCCTTTCCTGGTGGGATTTGACTTTTCAATGTGACTCTTCAATATGACACATGAGTTTTGCTTATACAACGCAACCTTTGCCTCTGGGATGGGACTGTTTACCGGATGCCTGTCGGACTTGACTTCTAAGGTACCCGAGTGTGACTTCTCTGAAACTGACCGACTTGGCCTGAGATCTTGACCCTGACATTCGAATTGCGGGTCTGCATCTTGGAATGCCTTTCAGTGGCGATTGCCAGGCTTGATAGGTTGAGACTTGCAAGCACCATAGCTAGACCTTGAGGAAGAGGGAGGACGAATCCATGGGTGTTGATAACATGCTCGGCATCCTTGGAAATTTGTGTTGTTGATTGACTTGGGGAGAGACGGTAAATAGAATTGATTTTCATTTAAATTCTATTTTCGGTATATGTGTGATTCCACTGTGTATTCTTATCATCCGGTGTGGTGTGGATTTGCTCCCTCAAGAGGTCACTTGGCTTTTGCACAGGTGTATGGGAACGTGTGGATGCCATGTTGGATCTCGTTTCAATTCTATTTTCGGTATGTGTGTGATTCCACTGTGTATTCTTATCATCCGGTGTGGTGTGGATTTGCTCCCTCAAGAGCTCAAGAGGTCACTTGGCTTTTGCACAGGTGTATGGGAACGTGTGGATGCCATGTTGGATCTCGTTTCAATCAGGCACATAACATTGAGGTATTGTCAAGGAGTTCCTGACCATCTCATCCTGGTCATTGTTTGGCGATCAAACTGATGGCTCCCTGCAGACGTCCACTGTCCAAGTCATCCACCTGGTCAAGGACAGGCTACAAAGGTCGGCAGAGAATTGTACTGCCACTCACAGCCACATCCACCTGGTGAAGGACAGGCTACAAAGGTCGGCAGAGAATTGTCCTGCCACTCACAGCCACCATAAAGTGCATAGATGTAGGGCTCCATTCTACAGCCTGCTTGCTATAAAGGTAGCAAGACCACTTGGTCAATGTGAGACTTGGTGCAGAAATCTAAGCCGAAATGTGACATAGATGTGGGCAAGTAACCGCACACGCAGTCACATGCTTCACAATAGCCCAAATTATTCCCTGACGAAGAAAGAGAAATGTAAAGCAGAGCGACCATACATGTGGGCCACGTAACCGCACACGCAGTCCTCATGCTTCACAATAGCCCTGGTGCGAATACGGCTCAAATCCTTTCCTGACGCAGAAAGGGAAACATAAGGCAGAATAATGACTTAGAGTGAGCCACTCAGCAGACAGGCACTGTGCTTGTGCTGATCTTGAGTACGCTTGGTTGGGGTACCCTCCGTAAAGCACCACACAAGCAGAGGAAAGAACACACACGATACAAGCAATCGACTGCAATAACCTGGCCTCGCCTACACCAACCACGTGATACAAGCTGTTCGTGATCATTTGCAGCTATTGACTTTTACCAGCTACCATTCTTCATTTGCAGTGCGTTATTCCCAAAAGTCCCTGTCGTTCGAAAACAACAATCATAATCACAGTATCATACATGAGGGAACCTAGCCCAACACTATACAAACAAAGACCTGACACAATATTGTCTTCTACAGCGAGGCGGACGAGAGCAAAAGTGGATGGAGCAGGATGGGAAGGCATGCAGGACTGCTCTGGCAAACAAGTGAGAGAGTAAGAATGGGTCAGGAGGGATGTGGGGATAGCAGTGCAGGAGAGGAAGGGGGAGAGGCGACAAAGAACGAGTGTTCACGACTTGCAGATAAACATACAGCCACATTGAATTGAGGAAGGGAGAGTTGCAGTGAGAAGAGGAAAGCTCAAGCCATCCTGTGCCTGAATGATCATGTATGGAACAGAGCAGCAAGAGTGCGCACTTTTTACAGAGTTTTTCTTCGGAGCAGGGCTGCTGCTGGGTCCCCTGCAGTCAGTGCCGCCGGAAGAACCCGTGGGCTCCTGCAGAGCAGAGAATTCGTTATGAACAAACAAGCATTTCAAAGAGTAAGCTGAAAACACAGGAGGCACATGAGGAGAGCCTCCAGCTCACCAAAATCCGCCACTCCATGTATCCAACCACTGCATTTTGGCAAATCCTATTAAACAAAATAACCACCACAAGAGCTGCAGATTCTTCAAACAGCATCTTACACATGAAGAAAATGCATCAAAGCAAACTACAATACATGTGAAGGGCTATCGATGAGAACACACTGTGAAGGAAGGCTGACTAATTGGAAGAGAAGGGAGCACGGAGGGAAGGGAGGAAGGAGGGGAGGTAGGATGCATGATACGAGGGTACCGGAGGGGACGAAAGAGTGGAGGGGAGCAGGGGGGAGAAGAGGGGAGGAGAAGAGGGGAGGACTAGAGGAGAAAAACAGAGAGGAAAGAAGCAATCTGAAGCAAGGCCGTAAAAAAAAAAGAAGGGCAGAAGACCAAAGAAAAAGGACAGATAAACAGGAAAAGGGAAAAGGCAGGAAGAAAGAGCCTAAGCAGGCAGGAAGGGATGGGCTGGCCTGACGAGTTGATGGAAGTAATGTGGTGGGACAGGGGAAGAGAGCAAAGACAACATAAAGAAGGACAGGACAATGGGAATGGTAAACAGTGCAGTAAAAGATGCACACATAACCGTACCCAACAATGCAGGAGCAAGTAGCAAAAGGTACCACGTTTCGGGAGCTCATAACAGACTGCCTAGAAATCAGAGGGAAAGGTGAAGGATTGGGAGACAAGGAAGAGGGAACATATTCTACAATATTTAAGAGTGATGATATTGGGGGGAGCAGGTAGAGTTATTGAGGAATAGCTGATTTTCTCATACATTTCATGTCTTTGTAGGTCCCACGGACAGCAATGTCCAAGGGGATAAGAAAGAAATGGGACTTTAGACACACCATTCAACCGCAGCTGTCAGGAAAGCACAATCGCAAGCATTCATGGATATACACATACACACATCACATTAGAAGACAAAAGCCACCCCATCACAGCCAGCTATATGAGAAAAGTGGTCTGCCTGTCTTTACCTGCCACACCATGCAACCACACAATTTACTTTTCTTGGAACATACTCACACTAGGCCTTTTTGACTAAGCTCCGGACAAAATTGTGGTCAGATACATCATGGATAGGCTGTGATTCCCGTCAGATGCATCCAGGAAAGTCCTCATGTGAGTATGCCCTTAAAATAGGGGAAGAGACAATGCTCCCCCTATTTCCCAACAGAGAAAGGGGATGCCACTTCCAAACTACATGATCCAGAGCCGACAACATTCGGACTTCGTTCTCGAAACTGGCATGGCGGTGGCTCTCCAGTGGCACTCTCTTTTTCTTCTTTTTTCTTTTATAGCATAGTATTGAATAGGGGCTACATTATCCGTAGGTGCAAAACCTTATCAGAAGAATAGAATATATATAATACAATATACTAAATAATGAGTCAATATTGTATTATTGAATATTGGAGTACAGAATGAATATTTTATAAGATAATAGAATGAGATAGAATATTAAACTTAGAAAGTATTTATAGAGTATGTATATAGTCTACATTTATTGATAGACCGTATACATTTAATGAACCTTATCCATTTACACTCTTAAATTAATGCCAGTCTGCAGAAGTGAATGAGGAGCCCCGTAACAGAAGAGCAAAACCAGGATGAGAGTTTATCCGCAGAAGCAAGAAAGGGAGTCCTGTAACGCTGCAAGAACTCGACTAGCTTCAGAAGCATATGCAAAGGCCCAATTCCTGACACAAACGACATGAAGAAGCATGAAACAATACAGTCCATCCAGCTCCTCCCCCAAAACGGAAGACCAAATCTCAATCACCCTCAAGCAAACCCCAGGTCTGTATTGCATCACATGAAGGTCCAAATAATTGCCAACCATCAGCAACGCAGTCATCCCACAACAGGTTTTACCCTTTTGGACCGCTTCACAGGTTTGTGTGTCATCCTTGCATAGGCGGCATGCTGATCATCTCTTTGTTGTCCCAATTCTTAACATATGTCCTGAAGGCCAGAGTTTTACCCTCCTGATTACATGGGGTAATGCAAACTTGCAGAACATCATTCACAACCAGCGACAATGCAAACTTGGAGGACATCATTCACAATCAGCGACACACAAAGGCTGGACAACTTGGTTAGGTGGACGAGGGAAAGAAGAGCTCGGCACCCAGAGCAAACAACACTGCAGGAAACCTTATCAGAAGAATAGAATATATATAATACAATATAGAATATCAATATACTCAATATTGTATTATTGAATACTGGAGTACAAAATGAATATTTTATAAGATACTAGAATGAGATATGATATTAAACTTATAGAGTATGTATATAATCTACATTTATTGATATACAGTATACATTTGAAACGGTTTTCGCCTCTTTGGAGTAGCAGGTGCAGATCCCAGGGTTCGATCCCTAGACCTTGTCCTACCTGTGTACAGCACCTGTGTAGACCCCGAGAGTTGAACCTGTGACCTGTGTATTAGTAAGCAGTTGGTAGGCTGTCATAGGTCCGTAGGTAGCAGGGGTTCGATCTGTAGACCTGTGGAATAGAAGTCTTAGCGAGTTCCAGAAGTCTTAGCTGTAGTCCTTCTAGAAGGTCAGCAAGTGGGCAAGTGGGCAAGTGGTGAGTCAAGTGGTGGACTAAACTGCAGTGCAATTGCAGTACGAGCTCGGTAGCTAAGCAGTGAGTCCCATTCAGTCAGCGGTAAGGTCCAGTCAGTCCCAGTCCGGTCCAGCAAGTACCACAAGGGACTGTGAGCACGATGGGCCGGTGGCAAAGGGCAGACCAACGACTTTCAGAAGAGTAAATCAAGAGGCAGCGCCCAGCCATTCATTCATCCCTGTGTGAGCCATGCGGAAGCGCTGCCACAGCGACTTGTGCAAGGAGGTCTGCAGTGAGCCTGGAGCTGAAGAGGGCGAGAGAGAAGGAGCGTAGCATAGCGATAGGGTAGTTGCGGCCATAGCCGCCATAGCTAGAGCAGTGTGAAATGTGTGTGTGTATGTGTGAGTATTCAGAGAGTCGCGTGTGGGATATCCAGGGTGATCCCGTGTACGTGAACAGTGAGTTGTTTGGGCGCTGAGTCGCCATAGCCAATTGAGAGTGAACTCCTATCTGGATGCCATGTCTCTGAGTTTTGAGTGGGCGCATGTTGCCAGTTTGCTGCGCTACTGTTACATGCATGAAAAGTGTGAATGAAAGCAAGTCTGATTGCATTGGTATCAGAGCTACCCGCTGTTCCATGCGCGCCGTCGTGCGCAGGGCCTGATGCGCCATGGCAGAGGTGGCCGCCGAGAGCAGTAGTCCGCCATAGCGGACCTGGAGGTTGGAGAAGCCGCCACGCACCTGCAGAGTAGACCACGACGAAGAAGAAGACCGAGAGAGAGAGAGAGAGGAAGGAGAGGCGAACAAAAAAAAAAAAAAAAAGAAAAAAAAAAGACAGCAGGGTGAAAGAAGGCGAGGAAGGTGAAGGGAAGAAGAAGGTTGGTGAGGGAGAGAGAAGCCGGCAGCCATAGCTGACCGAAGGTTGACCGGGGGAGTTGAATGGAGGTGTTGACCAGCTTTGACCGGAGTTCACCGGGGGTTGACAGTGGGTTGACCGCAGCGTTGAACGGCGTTGACCGAGACTTTGACCAAGCTGGAGCCGGTAAAATCTCGCCAAGCCTTCAGCCTATCCCTCGCCCTACGGATGTGCACACACCCTGTGGTACTTGCTGAGTCCAGTCTGTCTGTCTCTTCTTTCTGCATTGAGTCTCTACTCTGTGGATGAAGGATAGGGCCTTGTTGACCAAACCCACACGGGCTGAGTAGGGCTAAAGATTGTGTCCGACGACTCGACTGTCCCGGAGGACACAAACCCTCCCAAAGACCGGTACTGACCGGCGGGCTGCTCGGTGTGGCACAATAGGCCCAAAATCCGAGCTGTGGGCTACACAGCAGGCCGTTTAAGTGTTGAGAGACCTGCTTATCGCGTCGTCCTGTCTGCGACGTTAAATAATTCCTGAGGAGTTACGGGGGATCTCCTTAAATGCCTCCTGATCAGCAACAGGTCTAGTAGTGACAGCCATAGTATAGGTCTAGGCTAGAGACCCTAGCTGGCAGGATCCCTGTCAGGATTCTGTAAGTCCTTAGAACGAGTCAGTAGGTCTGTCAGTCAGGGGTTAGAGACTACGTGGTGAGGTTTGGAACCGTTAACCCGGTTGTGCACATATCGCAATGGTGGACACCTGGAGTGGGAAGAGCACTAGCCCCTATACCCAGGAACAGCAAGAGAAGATGGCCGCCTTAGTGAGAGAAATCAAAGAGAGGAAAGAGCTCCAGAAACAGGCGAAGTTAAAGACTATGGCAGAGGAGCAGGCGGCGAAGATGAAGAACTTGGAGGAGGAGATGAAGAGAGTTCAGCAGGAGGAGGAAGAGAGGAGAAAGGCTGCCGAAGAGGAAGCAGCAGCAGAAGAGGAAAAAGAGAGAAAGTGTATTGAAAGCAAAGAGGATGCCAGCCTGGGCCAAAATGAAGAAGGAGAGCAAGGGACAACTGATCTCGGTAGATGTAGAAGTATATAGAAGCAGAGTAGGGGCCCTTATAGACTCAGGGGCGACCCGTAGTTATATTAGCCGTAGAGCGCTGAAGAAGCTGAGGCTAGGATTGAAAGTCCGAAAGTTAGCAGACCCTATAGTCAGTATCCTTGCAGACAACGGCACAATGCGTGTTCAAGACTACATAGAGGGAGTCCAGGCGTACTTCCGCCTAGAGAAAGATGGAAAGGTGGAGAAAGTTCTCCATTCCCTAACTCTCCTCGTACAGGAATGGATTGGGGAGAGGCAGCAGGGGCCACACTCCATCTGAGAGAGCAAGAGTGTAGGCTCCCTAGTCCGTCAGGTGAGGTTAAGACTGCCCGCCTGTTTCATGTGTCAGGTGTAGATAACACCTTGGCACATTGCTGTCTCAGTGCTCCCGTGTTCGCGCGACTACTGAAAAAAGGAGAACTTAGAGGAGCAGGTTTTTGTAGTGTATGTTAGACCTGTCACTGAGGCTAAGGAAGAGGTGACTTCCAGAGATCCAACCATTGCCAAGCTGCTGGAGGAGTTCAAAGATTTGACTAAGTCGCCGACAAGAGTAGTGTCGCGACCCATCCAGCACAGGATAGAGATAGAGCCTGGCCGTAGGACTCCTATGGGAGCAGTCTACAAGATGGCTCCGAGGGAGTTAGAGGAGCTACGCAAGCAGTTGGACGAGCTCCTAGAGAATCAGGCCCAGTTCATCTGCTTTTGGAGCACCAGTTTTGTTTGTCCCCAAAAAGGAAGGAGAGCTGAAAATGTGTGTAGACTACAGCGGTTTGAATGCGATTATTGTGAAGAATGTTGAGCCACTGCCCAAGATAGACGATCTTCTGGATCGGGTGCAGGGTTGCAAGTATTTTTCTAAGATACATCTAAAGTCCGATTATCATCAGATAGTAGTCCATCCTGATGACCAGTACAAGCCTGCGTTCCGGACTAGATATGGGCACTTATAGTAATGCCCTTTAGACTGACTAACGCGCTAGCGACGTTTCAGCGATGTATGAACGAGGCAGGGTCATCTGAGGCAGGTCTTGGAGAAGTTGAGAGAGTCCAACTTCAAGATCAACGTGAAAAAGTATGAGTGGGCCAAGACCCAAGTCTTGTACTTGGGCCACGTATTAGACGGAGATGGTATCAAGCCTGAGGACACCAAGATAGCGGCAATTAGAAACTGGCCAACGCCCCTCACATTGACAGAGTTGTGGTCGTTCCTAGGCCTAGCTAACTACTATAGAAAGTTCGTGAGGAACTTTTCTACTATCGCCGCTCCCTTGCGCAGGTTGCTTAAGAAAGAGGCAATCTGGCAATGGGACAAAGACTGTACGTCCGCGCTGAAGAAGTTGAAGCGCGCATTGATAGAGTACCCTGTCCTCAAAGTAGCTGATCCGTATTTGCCATTTGTCGTCACCACGGACACAAGTCAGTATGGTATAGGCGCCGTGTTGCAGCAAGATGACGGCAATGCCTGTAGACCCGTAGAGTTCATGTCAGCAAGGATCCCTTCAGAGAAAGTAGCCACCTCGACATATGAAAGAGAACTCTACGCTCTCAGGCAGGCCTTAAAGCATTGGAAGCATTACCTGCTTGGGAGGCACTTCAAAGTGTATTCTGACCATGAGACGCTTCGTTGCTTAAGGACTCAGGCCAAGATGACACCTAAATTAACTAGGTGGGCTGTTGAAATAGACCAATATGACTTTGAGCTTAAGCCTGTCAAAGGCTAATATAACGTAGTTGCGGATGCTCTGAGTAGAAGATCAGACTACTTTGGAGCTATAGTACACTATCTGGATATAGGGAGAGACCTGCAAGAGAAAGTGAGGCAAGCATATGCGCAGGACCCTATCTACAGTGACCTCCTAAAGAAAGTTAGAGAGGCCCCAGAGACCGAGCCACACTACCGCACTACATAAGGATTGTTGTTTGCGAAGACGGATGTTTTCGACCGCCTATGCATTCCCAACAGTGCGGAAATCCGCAGTCTGATCCTAGGGGAATGCCATGACACAGTGGGATAAGACTACTACGTGCGCACCTCTAGGTCTTCTCAGACCTCTGCCTATTCCTGATCAGCCTGGAGACTCACTGTCCATAGACTTCATGGATACTCAAGTCAAGAGTAGGCATGGCAAGAACCAAGTCATGGTCATAGTTGACCAATTTAGTAAGTACGCCGTTTTTGTTCCTTTGCCTGCAAAGGCACGCACAGAATTAGTTATTCAGAAGTTTTTTTATCATTGGGTTAATGAGAACGGAGTCCCATTATCCATAGTTAGCGATAGAGATAGTCGTTTCACCAGCCAGAACTGGCAAGAACTCCTGAGAGTTTACGGGTCAAAGTTATTAATGTCATCTGGCCATCATCCAGAGACCAAGGGTCAGACAGAACATATGATGAGAGTTTACGGGTCAAAGTTATTAATGTCATCTGGCCGTCATCCAGAGACCAACGGTCAGACAGAACATATGAACAAGATCCTACAGCAAGTTATGCGCATGTACATTAGACCTGACCAAATCAATTGGGACGAGATGTTGCCTAAGGTAGCTAGTGCATACAATAACAGCGTGCATCTCTCCACCTTTCGCACTCCCAATGAGCTGCACAAGTCCTTTAGACCACRCAGACCGTTCGAAGGACTGAACCGGGATCAGATTCACAGGCTACCGCCCGGAACCCGGGAGTTCGCGATACAGCACGAGAAGGAACTAGCTACGGTTGTTGAGAACCTCAGGAAGGCCCAGCACAGAATGAAAGAACAGGCCAATAAACACCGTCACCCCTCGCAGTTTCAAGTAGGCGACTTAGTCTGGGTCAAGTCTAAAGAGCTTGCACCTGAGGAGCACATCTCGCGGAAGTTGCTACCTGCATACAAAGGACTGTGGCCGGTTTTAGAAGTCAAGGGCGGAGAGGATGGACCGTCCTACACTATAGAGATCCCAGCACAACTCCACACATACCCTGTGTTCCATGCTTCAAAGTTGTTGCCGTGTGTCACAAGTCAACAGTTCCCTTCAAGAAGATCCATGATCCCACAGGATATGGATGGAAGCTATGACATTGACGGCATTGTAGATGAAGATATCTTTAGAACAGGAGGTAGAGGCCGTCCACAGGAACAGCATAAGGTCCGGTTTGCTTATCAGGAACCGGAAGACGACCGCTGGTTTACTAGAACAGAACTTTTAGAAACAGCTCCCGACATAGTCAGAGCCTATGAGAGTGACAAGAAGGATAAAGGTCCTGCCTTGCACTGAAATATTCTCAGAGGACCTCGGATTTAGGACGGCGGGAGTGAAACGGTTTTCACTTCTTTGCAGTAGCAGATGCATATCCCAGGGTTCAATCCCTAGACCTTGCCCTACCTGTGTACAGTACTTGTGTAGACCCCGAGAGTTGAACCTGTGACCTGTGTATTCGTAAGCAGTTGGTAGGCTGTCATAGGTCCATAGGTAGCAGGGGTTCGATCTGTAGACCTGTAGAATAGAAGTCTTAGCGAGTTCCAGAAGTCTTAGCTGTAGTCCTTCTAGAAGGTCGGCAAGTGGGCAAGTGGGCAAGTGGTGAGTCAAGTGGTGGACTAAACTGCAGTGTAATTGCAGTGCGAGCTCTGTAGCTAAGCAGTGAGTCCCCACTCAGTCAGCGGTAAGGTCCAGTCAGTCCCAGTCCGGTCCAGCAAGTACCACAAGGGACTGTGAGCACGATGGGCCGGTGGCAAAGGGCAGACCAACGANGTCAGCGGTAAGGTCCAGTCAGTCCCAGTCCGGTCCAGCAAGTACCACAAGGGACTGTGAGCACGATGGGCCGGTGGCAAAGGGCAGACCAACGAGTTTCAGAAGTATAAATCAAGAGGCAGCGCCCAGCCATTCATTCATTCCTGCGTGAGCCATGCGGAAGCGCTGCCACAGCGACTTGTGCAAGGAGATCTGCAGTGAACCCAGAGCTGAAGAGGGCGAAAGAGAAGGAGCGTAGCATAGCAATAGGGTAGTTGCGGCCATAGCCGCCATAGCTAGAGCAGTGTGAAGTGTGTGTGTGTATGTGTGAGTGTTCAGAGAGTCGCGTGTGGGATATCCAGGGTGATCCGGTGTATGTGAACAGTGAGTTGTTTGGGCGCTGAGTCGCCATAGCCAATTGAGAGTGAACTCGTATCTGGATGCCATATCTCTGAGTTTTGAGTGGGCGCATGTCGCCAGTTTCCTGCGCTACTGTTTACATGCATGAAAAGTGTGAATGAAAGCAAGTCTGATTGCACATTTATTGAACGTTATCCATATACACTCTTAAATTAATGCCAGTCTGCAGAAGTGAATGAGGAGCCCCGTAACAGAAGAGCAAAACCAGGATGAGAGTTAATCTGCAGAAGCAAGAAAGGGAGTCCTGTAACCCTGCAAGAACTGGACTAGCTTCAGAAGCATATGCAAAGGCCCAATTTCTGACACAAACGACAGGAAGCAGCATGAAACAATGAAGTCCATCCAGCTCCTCCCCCCAAAACGGAAGACCAAATCTCAATCACCCTCACGCAAACCCCAGGTCTGTATTGCATCACATGAAGGTCCAAATACTTGCCAACCATCAGCAACGCAGTCATCCCACAATAGGTTTTACCCTTTTGGACCTCTTCACAAGTTTCGTGTGGCATCCTTGCATAGGCGGCATGCTGATCATCTCTTTGTTGTCCCAATTCTTGACATATGTCCTGAAGGCCAGAGTTTTACCCTCCTGATTACATGGGGTAATGCAACCTTGCAGGACATCATTCACAACCAGCGACACATAAAGGCTGGACAACTTGGTTGGATGGACGAGGGAAAGAAGAGATCGTCACCCAGAGCAAACAACACTGCAGGAAAAACTTACAGCTCCAGATATCTTGAAACTGGCATCAGCGCCGGGAGGGTTCACTGGCTCCTCAGGTTCAGAGTCACTTCCAGATGACGATCCCGATTCAGAATCTGCAAGATGTACAAACATGATAAGTGAGACATTTAGACGGGCAGAATAGCGTAAGGCAGGGCAGGGAACGGGTAAATTTCTTGTTCAGTATCTGCAATAGTCAACTGTACACACTCCGTTCAGAACAACAGAGGGCAAGAAGGGAGGAAGAGAGTCGCCAAACAGTAGAAGGCAATCACATTATTAAGTGCACTACGAAAGAGTACCCTAGTGTGAGAGTATGCCCTACGGTTTTGACTCTCCGCTAAAGTGCTAGAGGTGCTGGAAAAGGCACATACCGCTGGAGGATGATTCTGAATCCCCGCTTGAACTGCTAGAGCTGCTGGATTTGCTTCCATAGCCGCCATCGTCCTTCTCGATGACAACTGGAGAGAAGATGGCAGTTGGCGCGCCATCATCGATGTCCACGTCCTCTTCAACCCCTTCGGGTGCTGCTATGCGCACAAGCAAGAACAGTAGCAGAAGAACCAGGATGCACATGCGACCCAGCCAGCAGGAGAGTGCCACCATCAATACTCGTATGGGCTAACCACAAAATTTGTATACCCTGAGACCTGATTTGGTAACCCTGCGGATTTCTCTCTCTGGTTTTGGTGTGTGGATGTGAAAGGAAATGCTTTGGTATCGCTGATTATACAGAAAATTCTCTGGTCACAGATTGAAGATAAAGGACTCGACTATAAAAGAAGAAATGATTCATAATATACTAATTTTCCATGGGGAATATATATATAGTTCATCCTTTTCTTGCCCCCAATCTCCTGCCATGTCTCCTGAGCAGTAGATGGAGACATCTCTCTCTCGAAAACAAAAGAAAAAAACACCCCAAGCACAAACAGCCCGTCCTCGCCATCCTCTTCTTGCCACCCCCTGCTCCCCCCTCGCGTTGTCCTCCCTGCCAACCTCCTTCCTGCCCACTTCCTCCTCCTTTGTTACCTGGTCCTTCTTCCCCTTCTCAGGCTTCTCCACCACCACGACATCCTGCTGCCCCTCCTGCTTTGCTGTCCTCCTTGCCCTTCTCCTGTCCAATTTTCTTCTCCCCTTACACCGCAAGGACAAATGGCCTGTCCAACTCCTCTTCCACCACCTTCCCCTCCCATGCGACCGCCCACCCATCCTCCTGCACACCCTGCTCCGCCCTCACGTCCTCCTCCCCGTCCATCTTCTCCTCCCCGTTCGTTACCTGCTCCTTTCGGTCCTCGGGCTTCCCCGTTGCCACCACATCCTCCTCCCCCTCCTCGTTGACCCCCTCATCTTGCCCATTGTCCTTTACTCCCCCTGCTCCGCCCTGGCATCCTCCTCCCTGCCATCATCTCCTCCTTGCCCACTTCCTCCTTCGTTGCCTAATCCTCCTTCGCCTCCTCGGGCTTCTCCTCCACCACCACACCCTGCTCATCATCCTCCTTGACCCAATTGTCCTGCTCGGTGTCCTCCCTTTCTCCCTCCCTCTTCTCATGCTCTTTTTAGTCATCCTCCTCGCCCTCCTCTTCCAGTTTCTCTTCCACTCGTCATCCTATAGGAGCGGCAGGGGCAAGACAGGAGGTGGGCTTGGGGTGGGAGCCCGGTCATCCCACTCCTCCTTCTCTCCTCCTGCTCCTCCCGCTTCTCGTCCTGCCCCTCCTCCCGCTCCTCATCTTCCCTCACCCACCCCCAGGTACTCCAGCTCCTCCTCCCCCTCATCATCCTACCCCTCCTGATCAGCTGCACCTCCTGCCCCTCCTCCCCTTCGCCATCCTCCTGCTCGTGGCCCTAGTGCTCGACCCCATCCTCATTCCACTCCTTCCGTCACTCCCTCAGTTTATTGTCCTCCTGCTCATCATCCTCCTACTGCTCCTCATCCATCAAATCAGTTATCCTACCCCTGCTCGTTTCCCTCCTCCTGCCTCGTCATCCCGACACCCAAATTTCCTCCTCCCATGCGTCCACCTTGTCCTGCAACTCATTGTCCTCCCCATCTGCCTCATTCCATTCTGTTTGTTCACACAATCCTCCCGTTCCTCTGCCAGGTCGTCATCCTCCCCCTCCTCATCGCACAACTCCTCCCATCGTCATTGTCGTTCTCCGCCTCCAGCTCCTGCTCTCACTCCTTGTCCTCCTCCTCCTCCAGCTCATCTTCCCGCTCATCATCCTTACCCTCCTTATCGGCTCCACCTACCTCTCGTCATCCTCCCCCCGTCCGCCTACCTCCCCCTCCTCATCACGCTGCTACTCCTGCCATTCCTCCCATTCGTTGTCATCGTCCTCCCTCCAGCTCCTCCCGCTCCTCGTTCTCCCCCTCCTCCTGCCGCTCCTCCAGCTCATCTTCCCATTCAACATCCTACCCCTCCTTTTCAGCTCCACCCCCTTCCGCTCCTTCCCTTCACTTTCCTCCTGCTCGTCGTCCCCCCACTCTTCCCCATGCTCCTCCTGGTGCTCATTGTCCCCATTCTCATTCCACTAGTCCTCCCGCCGCTCCCTCCTGCTTGTCCTCCCCATCCTCATCGCGCTTCTCCTCCCACAACTCCTCCCATCGGCGTTGTCGTTCTCCTCCTCCAGCTCCTGCTCTCACTGCTTGTCCTCATCCTCTCCTGCTAGTTTTGTTTCCCCTGCCTGTACGCCCCCAGTCCCCCCAATCTCCTCCTGTCAATTGTCGACCACATCCTATCGCTCACCATCGTTCCCATCTGCCTACCCTCACTCCTGCTCCACCTCGCCTTGCTCCCTACCCTCACACCTGCTCCACCTCGCCTTGCTCCCACCCCTCCTCCCGCTCGTTGTCCTGCCCCTCGTGCCACTACTTCGTTCGTCGTCATCACCGTCCTCCTATCGCTCCTTGTTCTCCTCCTCCTCGCGGTCCTCCTCCTCCACCTCCTCCCGCTCATCATCCTACCCCTCCTTATCGGCTCCACATCTTGCCCCTCATCCCCTTTGCCATCCTCCGCCTGCTCATCATTCCCCCCCGCTCCTCCTGGTGCTTGTCTTCCCCATCCTCATTCCACTCCTCCCACCGCCCCTTCCGTTGGTTGTTGTCCTCCTGCTCGTGATCCTCCCTTCCGTCGGTTGTCGTCCTCCTACTTGTCATCCTCCTGCTTCTCCTCATCCTCCATAGTTGTCATCCTCCCCCTAGTCGTTCCGCTCCTCCTGCCTCCTAGTCCAAAGGCCCCCCAATCTCTTCATTTCATTCGTCAACCTCCTCCTGTCGATCGTCGTCGTCCGCATCTGCATCCTCCCATTCCTCCTCCCCATCATCTCCGTTGGTTGTCGTCCTCCTGCTTCTCCTCATCCTCCATAGTGGTCATCCTCCCCCTGGTCGTTTCGCTCCTCCTTCCTCCTTGTCAGGAGGCCCCTCAATCTCAACCTCCCAGTTCCTCAATCTCTTCCTCCAGTTCATCAACCTCGTCCTTCCGCTCATCGTCCTCCGCGTCTACATCCTCCCATTCCTCCTCCACGTCATCCTGCTCCCACTCCTCCCGTTCCTCGTCCCACCCGTCCTGCTCCCACTCCTCCCATTCCTCGGCCGACCCGTCCTGCTCCCACTCCTCCCGTTCCTCCTCCCAACAGTCTTGCTCCCACTCCTCCCGTGTCTCCTCCCACTACCGCTCGTCTGCCTCCTCCCATTCCTCCTCCCCATCACCCTGCTCCCATTCCTCCTCGCACTCGTCCTGCTCCCACTCCTCCCATTCCTCCTCCCACTCGTCCTGCTCCCATTCCTGCCACTCCTCCCACTCGTCCTGCTCCCACTCCTCCCATTCCTCCTCTCACTCGTCCTGCTACCACTCTTGCCTTTCCTCCTCCCACTCGCTGTCCTCCCCCTCCTCATTACCCTCCTCCTGCCACTCCTCGCTCGCTGTCCTCACTCTCCTCATCACACTGCACCTCATGCCACTCCTCCCATTCGTTGTTGTCCTCCCACACTCGTCATCTTTCCCCCCCTCCTCATCACGTTCCTCCTGTCGCTCCTACCTTTCGCATTCGTCCTCCCGCACTCCTCATCTTTGTTACATGTTGCGCTTGCACACGGCCCCCAGTTAAGGGGCCCGACAGTTTCTGAGAGGCCCCCAGGCGGCGTGCCATCCAGCACACGCCCTGGAGACCACGGTGGCACTACAGGCCGCAGGTACCAGCGAGGCAGCACTCATTTATTTATTTATTCATTTATGTTGTGATGTGATGTCCTACATTTGTCTGTTCAAACGATGTTTCCCACTGCAGGTCCCACGGCGACGCATTGGGCCAGGTACACAAGGGCGACGCCGTTTTCAGGCCAGGCTCGTTTTGCCGCCTCGTTCTGCCGCCTCGTTGCATGAGAGTGACGTCCAGATACCCAGTAGGGGACCAAGAAGGCTGTTTTGAGGCCAGTACCTCAAGAGCGCCCAGCAGGCCCAGTGCTACTTATAGTTGGGCTGAGGCTGGGCAAGGGCAGTAAGAGTAACTCACTTCTTGAGCGGCACGCTACTGGTTGAGCACTGCGCTGTGGAGTTGGGGGCTGAACACCGGAAGGCAGAGGGGCGGAGGCCATACCTGCGTTAGGGGACTTACCTCGCGCCATAGCTGGGACTCCCAGTGCGCCCGTGACCTGCACACAACAACAGAACGGCGGTCAGTTCAGTGGTCGCACCTGCAGGTGAGACAACGAGGAAGGCGACATCTTCTTCTTCGTCGGTCTCCCTCTCGTCTCCCTCCCTCCTCCTCCCTCCTTTCTTCTTCTTCTTCTTCATCATCATCAGTTACGAGAGAGAGAGGTAACAAACAAAGGTTACTGTGGGCAGAGCGCCCAGGATCTGATCCAACATTTTTCAGGCAGTGGCATCGGCAAGGGACTATTTTTGGACTTCGCTATCGCGATCTCGGTCTTCTCCCTCACCTCCATCTCCGCGTCGCCTCTCCCCCCATCTCTCATTCGTGGTACCTCCCCATGTGTGTGTACAAAGGACGGACCTTTCTTCCATGTGTGCAGTCCCTCCTCTCACATGTGTGGTGTATGACGGCATGTCGCGTCAGTCCCGGTCAGGTCAGGACTTCGAAGTTTTCCACTGACATTGCATTGCCCATTCAATCCTTTTTATCACATTGTGGATCCTTGGCTCCATGTACATTGCCAACCGACCATATCAGTTGGTATTGGAGCCCCGCATGTGAATCACGACAAACCTGATCTTACATGTGTGTGGGGACCATTGATTGATTGATTGATTGATTGATCATTGATTGATTGGTCATTGATTGACTGATTGATTGATTAGGTCACACTAACTAGTCCCCAAACTCGTGAATTTTGACCTAACTGAAACGGTTTTCACCTCTTCGCAGTAGCAGACGCAGATCCCAGGGTTCGATCCCCACCTTGCCCTACCTGTGTAGACCCGAGAGTTGAACCTGTGACCTGTGTATTCGTAAATAGTTGGTAGGTTATCATTGGTCCGTAGGTGGCAGGGGTTCCATCTGTAGATCT